TTTTTGTTTTGCTCTTCACGTCCCACTGAATATATGCACACCATTACGGGAAACCTCATCAGCGAGGTTTCAGAAGTAGGACCTATTAGATATTGCCGCAGACATGCAAACGGCCAAGATCAGTCTTCCAGATCTCCGGGTTGGATCAAAACTAGCCACGCCTTCTCAGAGTCCCCTAAACGGCAACAGAAGAGATGGAATCTCTTCCAGGTCGAGCGAGCGTTACGCAGTTCAGAAGAGCTGGCACCGGCAGAGAAGTTTTGCCCCAGTCAAATGAAAGCGGAGTCCAAAATAACACACGGTTTCCGCCGGGATCGGAGAGAAACCCTTCCCTCCTCCCCCTCCTCCCTCTTTTGCTCCAGATCTGTTTTTGTCCCGGTCCCTCCCCACCCGCAAGGTCTGCATGTAAACACCGCCAGCACGTGACCTGCCTGGACCAAAAAAAAAAAAGAGAGCGAGAGCTAAATAACGCAAGAGGCCGAGGAATTGGGGCGGCGAAGGAGAAGCGCTCTTTTGGTTCTGCGGCGCGGCCCCGATACCTGCGCGTCCAGGGGGTCCGCTTCTGCCCGGGCCGGCGGCGGAGCAGCAGGCTACAGCTCGTGCGGCGCCAAAGCGCGACTGGGGCGGAGATCATCGTCTCCGCCGGCGGGAGAAGCTGCTGGGCAACGAAGGGCGTTGCCGAAAAGCACGCCTAGGGGTCGGGGGATAGCGGGGCCTAGTGGGAAGGAAGCACCGGTCCGGGTCTCGTCAGAGCCGGCCGCGCCATAGGAGTCCCTCCCCAGATTTTCCCCGCTGTGCTTCAGCGTCACCGAAGGGGGTGTAACTCTGTTTTGACAAGAGAAAGAAGGAGGATCGCTTCGACAGGGGGAAAAAAAAAAAAGACAGGCTGAGCGGGAGAGGATCGACTCTCCCTGGCGTTATATTGAAGCAGATTGGACGCCTGTTCAAGAGGCTAGTTTGGTTTTAGTGGCTTGAAGCCGCGAGATGGTGAGATCCAGTCCTGCCTTAGGCTGAGAGCCAGCTGGGTAACTTTAGGCCGCTAGTCGGTCTTTTCAGCCCAAGGCAGCAGGCCGTGGCAAACCATTTCCCCAAAATATTACCAAGCAAACTGCAGAGACTGGTCCAGGGCCAGGCAGTCCCCAGGAGTTAAAAACCGAGTTGAAAGCGCGCACAAGCAAGCACATTGGAGAGACATCCTAGTAAACGCACGTGGGCCGAGCCGTTTTTCTAACAGGTTAGTTTGAGAATGTCAAGGCAGGAGCCGCTGGTCTCCCGCAAGAAAGCCGGTCGTTGCGAAATGCAAGGATCCTTTGGGTGTACTCATTTCTCGTATCTTTTTGGAGGCTAGGGCCAACTTGTGTAGATGGCCACGCAATTAGTCTCGGATCAAACTGCAGTCGTCATCCAACTCCCTACCCCGACTTTTCCGGGTGAGACTAGCACTCCGGGTCAGAGAGGCCAAATCTCATCCTGCTGCTGAATGAGGCTGTCTTTTTGAAATGATTCAGAGAGCCTCTGCAACTCTACACAGAGATCCTCTGTACCTACAGTACAGCCCTTCTCTTTCGGTATTGCTAAGAGGCAAAAACTTTAAAGGACACACTGATTTTTCTGATCTTTTACTAGAGATACGGGATGAGTGAGTAGATAAAACCTGAAACCTGCTGGGGGTGGGTGTTGGACTAGATGACCTATAACAGTCATGACTGTTAACCATCTCGTGCCAAAAGTGGGGGGAGTGCAGGGAGTTGCACGCGTGTGCCCACACCCATAATTTAATGCACCATGCCCCCCCACATGCACATGTGACACACACACCCGTGCTCCCCGTGCTTTTGGCACACAATGGCATGGTGGACCCGGTAGGCCTGTTTTTTGCCCTCCCCAGGCTCCAGAGGCTTTCTTGGACCTGGGGAGGGCGAAAACAGCCTCCCCCCCCCAGGCCCTCTGGAGGCTGGAAACAGCCCTTTTCCCAACTAAATCAGCTGGCCAGTGCACGCATGTGCGCTGGAGCTGAGCACAGATATGGCTCTGTGTGCCACCTGTGGCACACGTGCCATAGGTTCGTCATCACGGACCTGTAAGGTCCCTTCTAACTCAATCTGTTAATAATGGAAAGCTATTACTGAGCTGTGGTGTTTCTCCTGTCCAGATTCAAAATACAGATTTGGTTACATTAATCCATTAGTTTCAAACGTGTAGAGCCAATCATTGTGACCTTTTCTTAAAACATGGGTATGATGTGTGAGCTCAACCAATATATTTCCTTTCATTCTAGCAGGAAAAGCTATTGTTCTTTGACTCAGCAATTATAGAAACAGAAACCACAAGACTCAGTTGCCTGCTGATCTTATCAAGTTCAAGTCCCTAATTGGTTTCTTTAATAAAAACACTTAGGTTTAAACTTCAGGTTAAAATCTAAAAGAAAAGAAGGCATACTCAGAAACAACTTCTAGTGATGTAATCAGTCCACTACATTAAAACCAACATGAGATTCTGATACAATGCTTGGAAATTGATGCAGTTGGAAGGGATTTGTGGCATTTTCAAAGTCCTACATAGCTTGGGATCAGGTTACTTGAAGGATCTTCTTTTCCCTGTCATAGCTATCTGACCTACCAGAGCAGGAAGGCAGGGAATGCTATGAATCCCCTCTCTTAAGGAGGTCCATCTAACGGAACCAAGAAGGGCCTTATTTGTGATGGCTGCCTCCTTTTGGAACATCATCCCCATGAAGATAAGATTGGCCCCCATTTTGATACTCTTTCTCAAGCCCCTGAAGATCTGATTTTGCCAATGGGCCTGGAGAACCTAGAATGGGATAGAGCTCATCAAATGGCTCATTTGACTGTGGTCGACAGATGGGAGATGGGGAGGTTATTCCTTTTTTATTGTTTTTATATTGGATTTTTATCTTTGTAAACTTCCCTGAGTCAATGTGAGTGAGTTGGTCAGCCATATACATTTTCTTAAATAAATCTCAAATATCCAGTGTGCAAGAGAAGATGTAATGAAAAATACTGTAATTCAAAATTTTGCTGTATGCCTTCTTAATTTTTGAACATTGATTTCTTACTTCTACAATTAAAAACAATTTCAGAAAGATAATCATGAAAATAAATTAGTAACTTTTTGATTAAATGGCATGAATTGCATGATTATTGCTCCTGACTAAACTGTTGAGATGTAGCTTGGGTGAAGTAGAAATCTTTGCTTTCATTTAGAAATATGTTCAGCTGGACTGCACTGGCCTCTCTTGAATGACTAAACTGTAATGGAAAATCAAGATCCTTCCAGTTCTTTCTGATGGCCAGCTACACAGTAATGATGGATGTTGAAAGTTGAATTGAAGCAGCTTTTGGTGGTCTGCAAGTTTGCCCTTCCCAATCCATTTTTCATGCACGTTTTGTTTCAGATTTTATAAGCCTTTAATTTCTGTCTGCTTGGAATGAATGATTAGAAATATGGAGAGTCCTGTATTTGGTTAGTACTGCTTCAGATCCAGAATTCTGCCAGTAAAGAGCTTTGAATGCTGAAATGACTGACGTGCATGTCTGCTTCAAAATGCACCATTATATTCAATAATGTATTCTTTGTGCACGTAAGACAGCAGGTTTAAGATACTGAGGCAACTGATTTGTATAGATATAAATTCATTTTATTTAGGCAGCTTTTTACAATTAGTTTTTAATACATTTTTTTTCTCTGTAAGCTAACTAGAATTGTGCTAAAAGCTGGGTTCAAACAGATTTTTTAAAAATGATTCAAAATAATGTTTTTAGTAGAGTGGATGGGAAAGGAAAACACAGTGGCTGGAGAAATGGCTATTAACACTCTGAAAATACTTGACAAAATTTCTTTGCCAGTTCTTAACAGAATGAGCATCTCTTCCTTATGTACAGCAAAACTTTGCTCTTAATTTGTTAACATAGACCAGCCTTGGTGTCTCTCAGATATGACAGACCATACTTTCCAAAGCACATGACCAATTACACTTCAACATGCCTTCAGAGCTCAAGATTTGCACATTGGTATCACCAAAGCATTGTAAGGAAAATTAAATGTCATAGTTCTTCCAGTGACATATCAGTGTCTCTGGAAAGCCACAAGCAAGGCATGAGAGCAGCAGAATTTTTACCTTTATGGCCATTTGAATTGGTGATGAAATCTCATCTTTTGGCAGCAAATACCATTAGTAACTAGACAGGTTATTTCCTTTTATGAAAGCAAGAATGCTAATAGAACCAACTATTGTATAATATTTGTTAAGTTTCAGAGAATGGACACAGAATACATATAACTTAAGTTTTACCTATTATCATTATAGAAAAACCAATGTGCTTGGAAATCTAGCTGTACAGCTAGGTTGCAGCATCAAAGTAACTTTGGGCTCTGGAGTTAAGTAGCATCAGATCTAGTTAGTACTTGGATGGGAGTCTTTTAGGAAATAATAGGACTGGGGGCTTGACTAGGAAGTTGAAAAAAAACCCCACATTATTAAAACTCAATTGCAAGCTGTTTCCATGTCTTGCCAATTGAGAACCAATGATTTTCAGACCCCATGGGTTATATAAATATGAAACAGGTATCTCCAAGGTGGTAGTCTAGAAAAAGAATGGCCCAAAATCCATTGACTTGAAAAGAAAACCAAGAAAAGGCCTGTAGTTTAAACCTTGGACTGACAGACAGAGTTTGATTGCTGAATTCTGCAGCAGACAGGTCTTTTGTTTATGTACTATTTATCTCTGCATTAAAGTGACTTGTGTTATGTCAAGTCTGAAGCTTCCCCTGTTTGCTAGTTGCTGAATATGGGATTGCTTTTCTGGGGAGGAGATGTTTATTGTCATACTCGGTGTGAAAGGAGACAACAGTAAAGCCAACTTCTTAAAGATTGAATTTAAGTTTCCTAATAAATAAATGGAATAAAGAATTTAGAATATGTTTGACAATTGGGCAAAAGACAAGTTAATTATAAGATATTAAGAACTACCAATCCAGCAGAGAGGGAGAGAGATTTTATTTGGCTCTTTGCAAACCACTATTGACTGAAATTGAAATTTCACTGAAAAATAGCACTCATTGAATAACATTTGTGATAAAAACTTTAACAAAGAGCCAATCTGAGAAATATTGTCACAAAGCATTATAAAGAATGAACTAGTTCACTGAACCGAATACACTCTTTCACACACACACACCTACACCTTACTCATGTTTTATGCAGTGACTATATTTTACTCAACTGTAAAATATAAATTATATATTCGTTTGTTCATTTGGGCTTATCAAATTCATATCAAATGTAAATCTAAGTGGAATCCAGACCCTAGTTTACAAAGTGGATAGATGCCTTTGCAAGGTGTTATGGAAAATATCTTTCTAATATAATGTGAGAATGCAAAAATAAATAGGCAAATAGGCCATGTCAGTATTCGGTCATTTGTACTCTCACACAGATGAATGACTTAAAAAGGAAATGGGATGCTCAACATCTGAAGTGGACCAGAAACTATACCAAATTAAAAGGTTACTTTGAAAATAAAGGGCATATGAGTAGAAGAAACAAATTCTCCCACAAACAGCTACCTGGATATAATAGTCATGATTGATTATCAACAAAAATGTCTGTTCTATCAAAATTCATTATCAAGCAATAAATTTGTTCTCAATTAGATAGGGAACTGGAAAAACAAATTATTTCTATAGCACTGGCAAGCTTAATAACATACATGTTATTAGACTTGCAGGATAGGTGATTTTTTTTCTTGGTAAAAGCAGTTATTTACAATACCATCTGAGGTGAGATTAGCTATGACATAATTATTAAAGTCTTAAACATATATGTTCATAAATTATTTATATTCTTAATGATTGATTAATCTTGCATATGTTATGGCTAGCAATTTGGCAAGACATCCAGCAATTTTAGCTATCCTTAAATAGCCTAATAATGTTCATATCTAACATAGAGAAGAGAACCTGTGGCCTGTCTGATACTGCCAAATATTCTTTGCAATTCGCCATTCAAGGTTGAGGCTACTAGAAACAATAGTTAATGTAGGGAGAAATTTCTCTTTATAGTAAAAATGTTAATTGCTATTGTTCTAACAGGATAAACCAGAATTATCTCTGTAGTCTGGAATACTGCAAGCCTATGTTAAAAGTGGTAGTTCTTTAAATGGTGATGACTAAAAATATTTCAGCAATAACCTCCAAGTAAATGAAGGCCATCTTCACACATGGCCATGGGCTAATTCCCATGGAATTACTTGAATATGTAGCACGACAGAATCAAACACAGTACAGGTAGTCCTCAACTTACAACTGTTCATTTAGTGACAGTTTGAAGTTACAACATCACTGAAAAAAGTGACTTATGGCCATTTTTCACACTTACGACCATTGCAGCATCCTCATGGTCACGTGACCAAAATTTGGATGCTTGGCAACTGTTTCATATTTATGATGGTTGCAGTGTCCCCAGATCATGTCAACACCTTTTGCTACTTTCTGACAAGCGAAGTCAATGGGGAAGCCAGATTCACTTAACACATGTCATTTTGACATTCCTGTGGCTATCTTAAAATGTTACTGCATTGGTGGCGTTTATACTGAATGTTTTTCATCTCCCACTAGCCCCAAAATTTCTGTCCTCTCAATTATCATTTAGGACTGGCCAAACAGGATGAAAAACCTCTACTCCTTGAGCATGGAAACAAAAATTCTTAACTTTAATTCAGAATACACAATGATCAAAGATAGCACAAAAGTCTGTTCCAATCAGAGCAATATGTAGTAATAAAAGAAGTAAAATGGGGGAGGGGATTGATGTTTTGTATACATTCGTGCTTACTCTTGCAGTCTCATTCGCGCTCCCTCCCCTTGCTTATAACTAAACACTTAAAAGGAGCATATAAAACATTCTAAATTACCAAGTACATTTGAGCATTTTATTGGCCTCTTACTCTCTCATCACCCCCATTATTTTATATAGGTTGAAAATCTGTATTGGTATGATTGCATTGTGTTTACATACAGGCTAAAAAGCCCCAGTGATTGTCCTGCATTGCTCTCCATGGGTGGCCCTGATTTCTCTCCCATTGCAGCTGAATCAGTGCTCCACAGTCATCATACCCTGCAGATGTAACTTGTATTGGCATGCTGAGTGAAATTGTCAATTAAGACACAGCTGGTATCTGGGATGCTTATGCTGTACCACCAGTATTCTAGCATTCTGGTTTATACCACATTCATTCAATAATAACCCTAGGAGGACCCTGGGCGTGGGAGAGGTTCACTGAAAGAAGCTTACAAATATCAATGTTTTCAAAGCAACTCTAAGCTTGAATGAAAGGCATCTAGGCCATCAAGCCCAATATTAAGGTTCTCATGGATAGAGTTCCCAAACACATTTAACAAAGCCCTTTGCCACCATGCAAGATAGTCCAAGCTTTCTCATGCACTTCACAAAGTTCATTCAAGTGTTCTGGACTGGGTTTGATGTTGCTGAGCTCCACCGTCTTGCAGACTGGATTTGAGACTGAGAGGCAGGCACTAAGAAAACAAAAGTCTATGTGATCAGATATGTAACTAAGGGACCATCCAAAGCGAAAATCAGAACATCCATCGTGTTGCTCTATAAATATGGAGAAGTTGACAAAGTAAAGTCTTTGGATCAAAGCTATCAGAAGCAGAACAGCAGTGATATATTTAATACAACAGTAGTAGAGTAGCAAATAGGAACAGGAAGAAGCTCTTAACGTAAAGTGTGGCAGCATCTTCAGAATTTGGAATGCCTGGGATTGGGACCTGGTTTTTTTTCTTTTTTTTTTCTTTTCTTTTCTTTTCTTTTCTTCTCTTTTCTTTCTTTCTTTTTTTTTGAGACATTTGATTTAGAAGCCAGAGTTTGGTCAGATATTTCTAGAGAATTGGAGTTTATAACTCTATTCTCCATCCCTTTCATGGATCAGCATTCTTGCCACTGTATCCACACAGTGCAGGCATTGAGTTTGATTGCCCTTTTTTTAAAAAAATATTATTTCCTTCTATGTAGCTCCTACCTTCATACTGGTCCCTCGCTGAATCTCAGAGTATCCAAAGCTCACAAGCAAACTAAAAGACCATTGCTGAAAATGTGACTGAGTGGAAATAGCAGGAAACAGAAGAGGTTACCTTTAGGCAATCCAGTAAAAGTGACTGTAGCAAAAAATAAAAAATCAGATCTTCTCCCCTTGCATATGGCATTGCAAAATTTGCTGAGCTGTCAAGATTCCCAGGAATGAGACTGTGCCCCTGCCATGCAGGAAGTAGAGCTGTAAGCCTTGGCAATTATTTGTGTATTTCCATGCAAACTATAAAATAATTTCTTTCCTTCACATTGAAGAAGTAATCTTGAGTTTTTGTTTTGTTTGTTTTGTTTGTTAGTCACTGTTTGTGCCAACATAAAGGCAGGAGAGCAAAGATCCTTAGAAAAAGAAATGCCCTTCTGCAGAACTGCCCTCCAACCTCCTTTTTAATCCATCAAAACGATGTCAGCTGAGGTCCCAACTGCCATCAGCAGCAGACTATAGCAATGTTCAACCTGATGGGACAGTTGTTGTTTTTTTGTACAATATCTCATTGAGCAAGGAGATTCATGCAGAGTCTCTTTGATCAGAACTTCCAGGGAGATGCTTGCTTCAAAACAAATGTGCTTTGCATGGGAGATCCTCCATAATGGTTGGTAAAGAAGTAAGGGGTACATCATATGTTACCAATCAAGTCTTCTCAGAGAAAAGGGTTCATACCGCTTTGTGAAGCTAATGGTGGTGGGATCGAGCCAGAGAGTGGTAGGAGAGGTTGAGGCAAGTTGCTAGGTAGCTCTGGGAAAGGCCCTGCTCCAGCCTGAGGGAAGGCACTCACAGAGGCTGGGAGAGTCATCGTTGAGGGGATGCTACTGAGTGGAAGAGGGAGAGAAGCACTGTAGGTCATAGAGTTCATTGGCATCCCCATAGGAACACTAGGCACTGGGGAGTTGGTCCGCATCTGATTGAGAGTTGGTTTGGGCTGATCAACGTTAAACGGATTGGTAGGTGAAGGGGCACTAAGTCCTAGAAAAAAAAGAAAAGAAAAACATGACTCATCTTGATTTCCATTAAGAATCACTGAGAATTTGAGGGAGTTAATCCCTGTCCCCACCATCAAGAGATTCTGCAAAAGAAATTGACAGGTTCCAAAGAAAGCCCACTATTTTTTTTATTGTCAAATAAGAAATATGTGAAAAAGCATCTCATCACTATTTCCAAAGGGCAACATTTCCCCACAGGTTCCAAGGATATTTGGTTTTAAGAACTGAAATACCAACAGGCTCAACCAAACCATTATTTCATCCAAAGGCAAATATGGGTATTCTGAATTTTTGGGCAAGTATTGAAACCTATGAAGAAATGGGCCCAATGAAAAGGGGAACAAGGAAGAAAGGTGTGGGAGGACCTAGGTACAGGATTGAGTCGTACAAAATTGTTCTGCTAACAAGAGTCCATAGAGTTTCTTTAGACTCCTGTACAAGGTCCCATGTTGTTGGTCCTGCCTATGCAACCTACCTGCCAGAAATGGATTACGTGACTTCATGCTCTGGGGGGCTGTAACCAAGGAATCCAAGTTAACCAAGGAAGAGGCGTTGGGGCCAAGAAAGGTCTCTGGTGTTTTGTTGTCCTTCTCCTTTGAATCAGGTAAAGAATCTCCTAAACTTGCAATATCAAAAATATCTTTATTTTGAATTCCATTCTCGGCGGTGCTTGGAATAAGGTCACCAAACAGACCCACATCTACCAGTGAGAAAGAGAGAGAAAGAAGAGATTTTACTTTATTGATCACATAGTCCCATTGCTTGCTCCTCACTTCTTTTTGTTTCTTCATTATTTTATATATTTCCCCATTTCTGAAAAAGATGGTTTTAGAATATATACATTCTGAATATTTATGGATTCTGGATTTATATTCAGGATATGCTCTCTCTGTGTGTGTATATATATATATATCCATTTCTGAAGTGTATATGGTTTACCAAAACAAACAAACAAAACCCCAAACAAAGCTAAAAAGCCTAGCTATTTTTTTAAAAAAGTGGCAGGTTTCATATAGAGCCATGGCAAAATTGAGTTTATTGGATTAGAAGGGGCACAATGTTTTAAGTGTCAGTTCTCTTCACTGTTATCAACATATGCCACAGCGCACATGGGGAAATACGTGTTCTAAATTGAAAATAGATTGGTTTCTGGAATTACTGTAACCTCTACCTTTCATCTCAATAAATCTTGCTAAAGAAACTTCTTTTAAGACTCATGCTTGGGAAAGAATCGTGCTTGTTTTAGGCAGCTGGCAAAGAAATCGAAATATTTTTTTTACAATGTAAAATTGCATTGCCACCATCCCAAAATGGTGAACTTGTAGTTCTTACACTGATCTCCTCTCTTAGTGTTTTTTTCCTCTGATAATATATTAGATGTGTAGCTATTTTGTTTTCTATCATTCATTCAGAAAACAAACAATTTACAAACAATAAAAATTAGATATGTTGTTTCTGTTTGTCAGTACATCAATAGAACAATTTTTATTTACAAAATGATTTTTTACTATTTCACAACAGTGTCTTCTCTTATTTTGTCATCTCTTTTCAATATATTGGAAATGTCCCTTTTTCCTATGATTCGTCTGCTACATTTCTCCTCTCTTATCTTCTCCTTCTTCCTAGTTACCTTTTCATTTACATTTACATAAGGTTCTTTAACCTTTTACATAATTCTGTTCTAGCAAGAATGAGCTACTGTTTTATCACAAGACTGTTAATGTCAATAAATCAAAATTTTTACTAATTCTAGACATTCTTTTTTAGCAAATAAGTTTAAATTAAAATAGTTTTTTTTCCATTTATATATATCCCCTGATCAAACTGGAATTGTCATTCAGAAAAGTTTAGTTGACTTTATTGGAAGACCTTTAAATCTATTATGCCAAGTACATAAATATCTCAGTTACAATGTTTCACATAAACATTTCTAATATATTTGATGTAATGAAATGGAAGTTTCCGTACAAACTTTTATGTGCCATAGTTCTGATTATAATTTTTATATTTGTAACTAAACAACTATATTTGTCTCCTAAGACAGTTCTTAATAAGTAATATTAATTAATATTGCAGGAATAAAACTGGGATGTCTTTTCATTCTTGTTTATAATTGAACTATTAGCAGATAATATTAATTTTTATAGTGATGTTCAAATACTAAGGGTTAAAAACCAAAAGGTTTTTGCTTAATATGTTTACTGATGCCATAGCAATTTTCTTCAATTACCATGCTGGATATTCCCAGTTAATAAAACAATTTAACCAAGTGGCAGAAGCAGAATTTAATATGGAATGTCCAACAATTATAATAATCATCACTAACAATAATTGTGCAAGCATGCTTGAGGATTTCTGACCTATGGGAGAGATTCTTGAAAATTGTTCTTACAAAGATATAGGCCAGCTAAGGAAAATAAATTCTGAGCCACTGTTGATAAACACTAAGCAGATCCTTAAAAAAAAAAACACCAACATTACTCTGGCTTGGCAAAATTGCAGCTGCCAAAGTGACATTATCAGAATTATTTTGTTTCAGAAATTTCCCATTTGACTTGTATCACATTGGTCCCAGACTCCCAGTATTGGCAAAACAATTCATCACCACTATCCATTTGAGGAAGAAAACTAAGCTTCAGCAAGCAATATTGTGTAACTATAAAAGTGAAGAGGGCTGAGAATAATAAACTTGAAATAGTACAGTTTTATGATTGTTAAGCTACATCAATTAATACTCACAATTACTACCCTTCTGTGTCCAGTGGGTTCAATTAAAGCTGGCTTTGGAATCATCAGAAATCCATCCAATATTTCAGGATTTAACGGAAACATTGCTACTGGGATATTTATATACTTGGCATACATAAATTAATTCTATCCTTAACTAATTCTGCAAAAATGTTATCCTGTATCACTCTCTGTCCTAAATCAAAGTAAATTCTTTGGCTTGGACAGAAAAAATATAAGCATCTGGGCAAAGTCCCTTTTGCTACCTTTCTTAAAATATATAATTTTTAAATACAAAATGAGCATGATCAGCAAAAAGAATAAGAACACAACCCATGCGCACTTGGAGACATGATCATTAATGCTTATTCTATATCTGTTTGAGTTATGTTATAAAATGGAAACTGGAAAATATTTGGTTCTGTTCTCATATTGAAATACCTCCAGTCAGAACTTTTATTTAAACAGCCATTCCATTTCTCTTTTGCAGAATTTACATTAAGTTCAGGCAACGTATGTGGTTAAAGTCTTAAAAAATTAAAAGCAGTTCCATTACATTACAAAACAGATGCTCCAAACTTTATCAAAATAATTTGAGAATGTAGTTTAGAAAAAGAAAAAGAAGGAGCTGAGTGGAATGCCATCTGGCCCAAACTACCTTTTAATGCCAGCCCATAGATGGTAATTACATTTTTTCATATGGATTGTACTTACTATTGGACTCGGGCCACTTCTTTTCATTTGGGAAGGTCCTTAGGTCATTTTGCTTTAAAGCATTTGCCAAAGTGCCTAATATAGCAAGCAACATGGAAAGATTGATCTACTACCCAGATTTTTATAAATACTGGAGCCTGTCCACCAATTTCTTACAATAATTAATTAAATAATCTGTTATTACTAACAGCCTAAAACATGGTTGCTTGATAGGAAATGGAGAGAGGAATTTGCCTGACTATTATCTCAAAATATGGGGCACTTGCATTGATGGAAAGATCCATATAGCACTCGTCCTGCCAGAATTGTTCTGAAGTCATTTCACTTCCCTTTATACAAGGAATAGCAATTTGGCCCCTTTCCCCAAACAGAAGTGAGATTCCATTCATGCAGATACATCACTGGGAGCTTTTGCAGCATGAAGGGAATCAGGGGAGTACAAAAAGGAAGATAAGAGCTAAACTAGTTCTAGGGTAGGGGTGTCAAACTCAAGGCTCAAAAACTCAAGGCTTAAAACTCAAGATTTAAGAGTGCTTAAATCTGGCCTGTGGGGCCAGCTTGGAAATAGCAAACGACTAGCTCGTGGTGCCTCTGGCAGCCAAAATGGGGCATGGGGAGGTGTGTGCCCCCATGCATCCTGTTTTTGGCCTGGAGGATGCTGCAGCAGGCATCCGTCCCACCCCCCCACCCCCGGCCAGCCCGCAGAGGAAAAGTACAATGCTGATCTGGCCCTCGAAGAAATCTAGTTTGACACCCCTGTTCTAGAGGGAGAAGTGTGACTAAAGACTGATTCCTGCATACTTCTCTGAGTATGGGGATATCTTGTGAAATAAAAACTAGGATAGAACTACTTCTGGTTGTGACACCATCCCACTTCTCTGACCTCAAAGGATTGGACCTGTTTAAATGAAAGACCCCAGAAAATTCCAACTTAACTGGGAAGGTTAAAAGAAAAAAACATAAAAAAAAGAAAAGGTACATAAAACTCTTCCATATTTCTGCTAAGATAATTATCCATGTAATAGTTGGTTTTAGCTTTTTATTGTCGACAAGGTCTGTCAAAAATTTTGAGATCAATATGTGCACGAAGAATCATCGTCCACAGTTATTTTTTTCATCACATTTCTCCATGAATACATATGATCAGACTTCTCTTTTCCAGATGTTGCATCTTATAGCTCCTATCAGGTTGATCCAATGGCCATGTTGCCTGGGATTAATAGGCATTGTTTCCAAGGAAGGACGTAGGTCAGGGATGGCTACATTAGAGCTTTGCTTACCTCCAGAACTGTTGGCTTTCACAGATGATGGAGCCTGAGAACTTTCATGTTCTGGTTGGTCCACAGATTCAGGTAATTTTGCAAATAAGTCAAATGTACTATTGTCTACAGAAAGGTAAAGACGGGAAAAAATCTATTCAATTAAAAGTCCTTCTCTCTCTCTCTCTCTCTCTCTTTTCTTCCTAATGTTTTCCAGTCCTCTTTTTCAGATCAACCAAGTGTCAATCTCTTGGTTGTGACAGGAATTAACCAATTGTTTTGTTGCCCAAGCCTGATGATGTGGGCTGAAAGACTGACCCAAAGTCACCCAACTGGCTTTCATGCCTAAGGTGGGACTAGAACTCACAGTGTCTTGATTTCTAGCCTTGTGCCTTAACCACTAAACCAAACTGGCTCTCTATGCTTTGTTCAATCTCAGCCCTTCTCAATACCATTGAGAAGGAATGGAAGCTCAGGGGAAGTAGTAGCGCTGTTATTTATGCTTATCCTTCACACACTATGCAAAGGAAGCTAAGGACAGGGACAGATTTATTGTCCAGTACTCCACTTAGAAGCCTTGTGGGGGGGGGAGATATATATTTCTCCTCTTCCTCCACTACCAGTTTGTTGAATTTGGGAGTCTTAACTGAAGAAGTGAGAGTGAGATTGTGGATGGAATCTCTTGTTTTATATTTACTTCAAAACCTAGACCTCCTTACAGTAAAAAGGAACCAGAGAAAGAAGCTTGCTTAATCCCATATCGCACTCGGCAGTTTCATCTCTATTTCTGAAGACAGCTAAAAAGGTATCTAGGTGTCTTTCATTTTATTCACAGCAAGGAAGGTCACACAACTTGCCACTTAGGAACTCAGCTGGGACAATCACATGTTCCTCTTGCAAATCAATCAAACACCTTACACGGCTCACATAAAGCAGGAGATAAATTATGGCCAGCAGTTATGAAGTTAGGGGAAAGATACTATTAATTCGTCACATTGAGCAGTCTCAAAAAACCGCAGGTGATTTTTTTTTTAAATAATGCATTTGATTTATATCTTTATACAGGAGCTCAAGGTGGCACGAGTGGTGCTCCCCCATCCTATTTTTCCCCACAACAACATCCCTTATGAGGTAGACTATGATGAGAAAGACTGCTCAAAATTGCCCACTGAAAAAAGCATCAAGAGGAAGGAAAGAAGGAAGAGCTGCTACCACAAGCACCTTAAGACTTGTAATGTTTACTATTGCCAATACAAGATAAGTAGTCCTGAGCTATATGGCATTGGTTTCTTAGCTTGATCTACCTAGTTAGTCTGGCTGAGGGTGAACTAGAACTTGTGTCTCCCCATTTCTTGTCCATCACCTCAACCAACCCACCCTATTGGCTCTCTTACCAGGGGCAGAGGAATTATCAGTAGAACCTCCCCAAGGATCAGCAGCAGAAGTGACATTTGCAGAGAGTGGAGCAGGTGGTGATTGTTTTCCCCAGGGGTCTGTCGATGAGACACCTGAAGGCAATGATTTTATCCCCCATGGATCAGAGGCAGAAGAGACAAGAGGAAGATTCCAGGGGCTGGAAGAAGCTTGACTGGCAGAAGACTGAGTCAGAGGATCCTCCGAAGGTAATGGCACCCAAGGGTCTGCAGCAGGACCCCAGGATGTTCCTGCTGATTCTACAGGAGATTTGTTATCTGAAGGGAACAAGCAGATAGAAAAGAGTCTATCAACGTGGAATCTGATTTGCCCGAGAAATAGGGAATGAATCGACTAAGAAGCAGATAACTTGATGAAGTCAGGATGGATTGAATAAATGAGTAAACTCAACCTGAGAGATGCCATTTGAGGAAAGAAATCTTAGCTGGCTCATTCTATGAGCTGTAACTGATCAAATCTGCATATATATGTATAAGAATGTATGCTAAAGGAGGAAAGGAGGAATGTCTAGATCAGTGATGGCGAACCTTTTCGGCACCGAGTGCCCAAACCGGAACACATGTGTACGAGCGTGCATGTGCACGTGCCGGAGCACCAGAAACCCGAAGACCAATTGGCTGGTGCGCATGCGCGTGCCGGCCAGCTGGTCTTCGGGTTTCCGGCACACACAAGTGCGCCAGCCAGCTGGTCTTCGCACGTGCCAAAGCACCGGAAACCTGAAAACCAGCTGGCTGGCGCGCATATATCTGGTTTTTGGCCATTTTTTGGCTGTTTATCAGGCCAAAAAGGGCCTGAAATTTGGCCTGAAAACAACCCCAAAAATGGCCTGAAAATGGCTCAAAAAGGGCCTGGAAAACGGCCTGTTTTTTGGATATTTTTTAGGTCATTTTCTGGCGCTCCAGAAACCAGAAGGGCAGCTGGCGACAACACACATGCTTACAGAGAGGGCTCTGTGTGCCACCTCTGGCACGTGTGCCATAGGTTCGCCAACATGGGTCTAGATGCTATATATCGGTCCAACAGAAATAATCTTAGGGGGAAATTCATTTAAACTGTAAATAGAGACAGAAAGGTTTATGTTTCTTTTAAGATCATAGTTGCTACTCAAGACTCTTTTACTAAGGTGCTTAAAAGAACTTTAATAATAACTCATTTTTAAATAAAGATTTATAAAACTCTTAATGTATTTATAAATGTATATAAAATTACAAAATGTATATAAAAAATGAATTGAAGTATTTTTATTACCTAGAAGATAACATTGACCCCAGTTGCCCAACAGCAAGAATGGAATGGAAGAACAGAAAAGGGAAAGAAGAGAACAGGTTCAAAACTTTCTTACTATTGTGGTCCCAAGAACTGGACAAGGATAGAGCTGGAGGAGAGAAGTCTGTGTCAACAGATCGAACAGTGCCCCCACCTGGAATATCCCATGGGTCAGCAGAAGTATGGGTAGAGGTGACTGGTGCTGATCCAAAAATGTCTGCCAGCTCCAACACAGAAGACTTGAAAGATACAAAGGAATACCATGTATTAGAGCTTGTAGTCCTGTAGTACCTATAGTGCTTAAACAAATACGAAGAATTAAACAGCCAGCCAGAATATAGCCATTTTTGCAAAGTACCAAAGAAATCAAACACATCCCCTTGCTCTGTTTAGGTATGTTGCTGGCATTCCTTGGCTCTTAAAGTGCATATTCTGGTGGATATGGATTGCCCCAGAATCAGCTCCATACCCAAATATTCTCGTGGTGTCATCTGTGTTCACAGCCGGACGGTAGGGAATCATTAGACAAATGCACAAAACATGAGCATTAAACTTATGAGCGTGGACCAAATGCCATTCTGTGCATTTCCTTAATACATAGCTGGAAGAAAGAACTGATTGGCTCATGAAGTGATCTCAGCCTTGTGAGGTTGGTTGCAGTGAGATGGGTTCACACTGCTCTCAAATTCCTGTGGAATAGAAACGATGGTGACATTAACATGTCTGAACAATGGGTGTTTCTGGAAATAACCTTCTGCAGGGGATCACTTGCTGAATAGGCTATGGAATATGAGAACAGTTTAGGCTTATCAGAGGCTGGAAACTGCCAGTCTGAACTTTGTAGGAATAAATGACTATGAACAATAGGTCTGGATCTAGAATAGATACACCTGTAGAGAAGAAAATTGTCTGATAATCAGCTTAACAATATTGGAGGTAGCAGCAAAACGTTCACCTGCCATATATTTGGTATTTTATTCTGCCAGCTCAGTATATGTGGATTGAAAACAAAAGAAGTAAAATAACACTAAATACCAATCAAACAAAAAGCATGAAGCACAAGAGTATTTTCTCATGCTACAGTGCAACTATCCTTATTTCTGCAAACATCCTCTCTTCCAAAAATTTCCAATCAAAGGCTTTATTGTTTGCCTTTCTAAAGTTCTTTGGGGTTGAATCCAGTTATTCTATACAACTACAACGGCAGGCATAAATAAAACAAGTTTCATAAACTTTTGTAGAATTATGGGCTCAGAGTCTGCAAAATTTGTGGCATGGCAGGATGCAGCATCTAAGTCAACATTTGCTCATCTACTATTTGCCCAGTGAGGATTTGAGCAAAAATCCTATCAATAACTTCAGTTCCAAGCTACACAGTTTGCAATTCCATGTAGAGATAACACACAAGGAGTATACATTTGCATACTTCGAAGCTGGCATTATAGCATGCCTGCGATTGGTTTTTCATACCTGTGTTTTCTTTCCCTTATCATCTTCTTCAACTTCCTCAACACCCAGGTTACTTTCTTCCAGTGCCTTTTGTAGTAGTGAATTTTCTCCTTTCCATGCCCTAACTTCCTGCAATCAGAATGAACACATGCCTGAGCCAAGTGCCAGAAAGTGGAATGATTATTTTCTGAAGGCAACAATCATCATTCAGATATTACCACGTGCATTTGTCATAGCAATCACTCTTTTAGTTTTCAAATAGAATCGAAGTTAAGATACTCCTCGATAAGGTTAGTCTTCAGAACCATGAAAATTAAAGTTATTAATTGGAAAAGCATCAGAAGGCAGAAGAAAATGGACACAGCAGAGAGTGATGATAGGAAGGAAGAGGTCTAGAGAATTCTCTCACCTAAAAATGTCACAAATTCTATGATTGTAGCAATCTTATGCACACTTTTGGGGCAATAGTTTCCACTGAGCTTGGCAACGTGACTTACTGCCAGACAAAATAAGCTCAGGAGTGGATTTGATTAGGAAAAGAGAGACGCTTGTACGTTTTCACTTTGCCCAATTGATCTGATGATCAAATCTTAAATTTGAGCAATTCCAATATTTAATATTTTTGCCATTAGGAGAAAGAACCCATAACACCCATTCCTGGGTTCTGGGGTTCTGACATTTCTCATACAAGATTTGATTCATATTTATAAAGGCCAACGACTTTGGTCACCTTAACAATTTCAGAATTTCAGCAAATGAATGAGATTCCAAAGCTTTTGGCAAGTTAGGAGTGTGTAGAATTCCTAGACCATTGGGGACAGAACAGCCTTGTCCCAGGAAGAAGATGTGAAGGTAACAGAAAGCTGCCCCATTTGAAGAGATGTGAGTTCAAGAAGAGGAAAGGTAAAGTGCCCTTTCACCACCTGGGCTTGGGGTACCTTCTCATGCTCTTGTTTGCTCAGGGTAAGCGCTATCTGTAATTGCAAATCTTCATCTGTGCTGGAGACTGGAGGAAGTGGCTGCTGATAACGAAGGAGAATTGGGTAAAAGTTTGCTCAGAGTTCTCTGCTCAATCATTTATTCTGGGTAAACAATCCACCCACCCACCCACCCCTTAACCCTTTGTGGATATATACCAAGTTGGTATTGAGTTAATCTATTTTTGTTCATTTCAGTATTGAACTAGGCAGCTTAATTACTCTTTTAGCCTCCTCTGCTCTGCTGCACTCCAGAAGGGTTGGATACAACTTGTATAATGCCCATCCAGAGCTATAAGAATTGATCCAACACATCTGGTAAGTAGGAGATTGGCTGATCTGTTTTTTCATCAAGTTTGAAGTTCATCCACTGACAGCACCAGTTCTATTATCAGGATTCTATTTTATCAGGGTTCAGCTGAAGCTACAGGTAGTCATCAACTTACGACCACAATTGAGCCCAAAATTTCTGTTGCTAAGTGAGATAATTGTTAAGAGTTTTGCCCCATTTTATGACTTTTCTTACCACAGTTATTAAGTGAATCATTGCAGTTGTTAAGTTAGTAACACAGTTTGTAAGTGAAAATGGCTTCCTTATTGACTTTGCTTGTCAGAAGGTTGCAAAAGTGATCACATGACCCTGGGACACTGCAACCATCATAAATATATGCCAGTTGCCAAGCATCCAAATTTTAATCACCTGACCATGGGGATGCTGCAACAGTCGTTAGTGTGAAAAACAGTCATAAGTCACTTTTTTCAGTGCCATTGTAACTTTGAAACTAAGTGAACTGCTGTAAATTGAGAACAATCTGTAATTCCTTTCATTAAAAACACATTGATCTTTCACCTAGATATGGAATAAAGAGCTAAATAATCAGCCTAGTGCTGGCAACTCAGCCCAAATCTTCGTATAATCTTCCACAACCGTATTTTTATCTGAAATTTTTTTCGTCTAAAACACTTCACACCAAGTACAGCAATAAATGTTGCCCCTCCAGGAATTCAGTCTCACTTTCAGTAACTAGCTGTCTGTAGAACCTTCACAGATTTGATATAGCTACTTACTTTAAGTTGCTTTATTGCAGAATAATTGTAACAGATAACAAATTTATCTACTGCAGAATACAAGAATCATAAGAGAGATATAGAAACAGACATTTCATTGCTTTAGTTTCTAGGCCTTTTCATCCAGTCCTTTTAAGCCAATTGACTTCTGATCAATTATTTTCCTGGCTTGAGTACCGGAGTCACTTATGCCAAGAGAATCAAAAGGCTCAAAGAGAACTCTAGATAACCCACTTCTTTCAAAAGCGCTTGCAATGCTGTTATTGCAAATATGTCTGTGCTGCTTTTCAATTCAAAATCCCCAGAAATTTAGAATAAGAAAAAACGGAGACAGTTCACAAAGATTCTTCTTGTGGAAGAAGTAATATGGCCTTCGATGAGACAGCAAGTGTATATTCTGCTGCAGTTGAAATACTAAGTCTCCAGCCAAGCAGGTTGGCCAGTCTCCCATGATCTGGCAACAGCCAAGAAGGACAAGGATTGAGGGAACAACTTTTACTTCTGCTCCAGAATTTTCTCAGATGCTTTGTCTTCTGTGGAAATCAACAAAAGCTGATCCAAGCAACCCTGCATAGCAGTATTTGGACAGTCAACCATTCTGAACACCAGGTGGCACCTAAGCCAGGTTTAGGCAACCTACAGGGCATCCCAAATGTGAGCAACTATATATTTTAAAAAGAAGTCAACAGTGTTCACAGACAAAAGGTTGTATGTGTGATATCCCCACATGATACAGAGACATCTGTGTATTCTCCATAAAGTCAAAAAACTTTATTGTCCCATTAGGCCAGTGTTACAAGCTTCATATGAAGAAATATCCCTATTAAAATCTATAAACATGAAATAAAAAAGCAAAAAATTAAAAGATAAGTGCTGTGGCATTATTGTACTTGGTGTCTTTCTACATATTTGTGGTATGTGTAAATTTGGTTAATAGCCAACACCTCAGAAGATAGGCTTAAGATACACAAGGATCTTGACAGACTTGAACATTGGACACCATCTAACAAAATGAAATTCAGTGGTGAAAATAGTAAGATACTACATTTAGGCAAGAAAAAACAAATGCATAGGTATAGGTGTTACCTGGCTCAATAGTAGTAACTGTGAGAGGGATCTTGGAGTCCTAGTGGACAATCATTTAAATATGAGCCAGCAGTGAACTGCAGCTGCCAAAAAAGCCAACATAGTCCTAAGCTGCATTAACAGAGGGATAGAATTTAGATCAAGTGAAGTGTTAATACCATTTTATAATGCCTTGGCAAGACCATACTTGGAATACTGCATCCAGTTTTGGTCGCCACAATGTAAAAAAGATGTTGAGACTCTGGAAAGAATGCAGAGAAGAGCAACAAAGATGATTAGGGGAATGGAGGCTAAAACATATGAAGAACGGCTGCAGGAACTGGGTATGTCTAGTTTAATGAAAAGAAGGACTAGGGGAGACATGATAGCAGGTTTTCAATATTTCAGGAATTGCCACAAAGAAGAGGAAGTCAAGCTATTCTCCAAAGCACCTGAGGGCAGGACAAGAAGCAATGGATGGAAACTCAATCAAGGAGAGAAGCAACCTAGAAGAAGAAATTTCATGACAGTTAGAACAATTAATCTGTGGAACAACTTGCCTCCACAAGTTGTGAATGCTCCAATACTGTAGTTTTTAAAGAAGAGATTGGACAACCATTTGTCTGAAATGGTATAAAGTTTCCTGCCTGAGCAGGAGGTTGGACTAGAAGACCTCCAAGGTCCCTTCCAGCTCCTGTCTGTTCTGGGGTAGGAGAGGGAGCAATGTGGCTGGCTTGTCAAGCTAATGTAACCTGAGAGCTTTCTTTGCTGGCTGCTGTGACCTCACTGTCCTTTCTCAAGCTTGAAGTTCATCAAATGTTGCTCTAAAACTCAGTTGCCTGAAACAAGGCCAAACAGCAAGCAAACAAACTTTGGCACTAGTAGGCACAACCTGCTTTGCACTTAACTTCAGATAAGGCATCGCCATGCTGTTGCGATAAAAGAACAAACAGATTGTCCCCATTCATTCCAAAGAAACAGTATTGTCACACTTCACCATTGACCTTATTTTCTGAAGAATTATTGCTAATTGCTAGCATTCGTGTAAATGTTTAATTAATTAGTTAATTAATTTTTATATGCCGTCCTTCTCCGGAGACTCAGGGCGGCTTATAATGCGTTAAGCAATAGCCTTTATACTTTTGTATATTTTATACAAAGTCAGCTTATTGCCCCCACAAACCGGGTCCTCATTTTACCCACCTTAGAAAGGATGGAAGGCTGAATCTTCTAATTCACAAAATTCTAATTCACAAAAGGCTGCCCAATTCTTGCATCCTGCTAAAGAAAAGTGTTTGGCTTTGGCTTAGCATGATGTTTGAATCAGCCTTTCTAGTTTAGAAACTATTACTTATGACTTAGCATTATGTACCTGATATAACAAACTACTTTAAACCAGGATTTAGTAAACTATGTCAATCTGCCAAGATTTTTGACCCAATGTAGCTTTATTCTTTCTCAGGCAATTAACTGATGGTAACACCAAGTTAGTCCACGCAGAACACACTTCAGTTGCATTAAGTTGGGACACAAATGGGAATATTTATCCAAGGGCTATATATTTGGTACTTTTATGTCTTCAACAGTTAAAAACTAAAATCACCATCTTTGTTTTCAGCACAGTAATGAGATTCATCTACTGCACAAATCATTCCTGTCTCCTTTTCCCTCTATTACAGAAGAGAGTTCTGTCGTCATGTGACATATCACAACTTTTTTCCCCTTCACTAAACCAGGCATGGCCAGCACATGATGCATCCAACACATGATGCATCCAGCCCGCAGGCATTGAGTTTGACAGCCCTGCTCTATTATGTTGCCTGCTAGCCTCCTTGAGATGTAGCTCTCTGTCTTCCAACTGAGGATATAAAAAAACTATTTATACAAAACCATGCCATTAATTGGCGGCCAAAGTGGAATGTGTGACCAATATACAGCCTAATGCCAGCTACTCCATCAACTGATCCTCAGAAAAGGCACAATGCTGTGTTGCTGAAGACCACTAGAATTTGTCATTGCCAGACTACCCAACAGCAGGAAATTGATTAAAATCTTATTTGTGGAACTTTGCCTTATTAGGAATATTTGAATCTGGCTTAGGCCACATGACCCTCTATTGCCCACACTCAGCAGCAGGCACTACCTAGAGTTTCAGGATGGAGCTTTCTATCTTTTCTGAGCATTGAACTGGGATCTGATGGGTGACTTTGGGCCAATCACTCTGCCTCAGTCCAATCCACCTCACAGGGTTGTGGTGGTGGTGGGGAAAATAGGAGGAGGAGAGAGGATCATGTATGTTTGCTACCCTGAGTTACTTTTAAAGTAATAAAGGCAGGAAAAGAAGGAAGGGAAGGGAAGGGAAGGGAAGGGAAGGGAAGGGAAGGGAAGGGAAGGGAAGGGAAGAAAGAAAGACCTGCTGAACTAAAGTTCATTTACTATTATTAAGGCAAATACCGGTAGAAAGATCCCGCTGACTTCAAATGTGAGTTTCTTCCCCACATCAGATATTCCCCAGTTTTCCAATTATCTGCTTTCTTCAGTTGTGTCAAATAGTATCAGAATCCTCCCTATTCAATATACCTAGAAGAATCTGTTCCATAATGTATTGTTTAATTGTTGACAATGTTTCTAGGAACTTGATGAATTTGAACATTGTAATCCTATACAGTGCACAATTGTTTTCTTTCTTCTTTACAACCTTAATGTGTTTTTCTTTTTGTTGTGGGAAAAGAGCAGAATTGCTTCTTTAAAAAAAAAAAAAGGGGGGGCAGCATGTTTATTCATGGACAAACATGGATTCCCCTTTTACTATTCAACACCTAAAATAGCAAGACTGGCAGATTGAAATGGCTGTTGCATCTGTATTAAATCATTTTTTTTTTCATTTCAGAGTAGATGAAGATGAAAATAAT